ATGTGCTTGATAGCCTTATTGTCTTTATCAATAACTATTGATGTGCCGGTAAACCACACATGCTCCATCAAAATGATAATTATGAGGTACCCATTACTACTATTTATTAGTGCCTATTCGTGTGCTGGTAATCCACACACGCTCCACTAATGACCTATAAAGCATAATGTGCAATTTCATGGATTAGCATACTTTTCACATTTTTCCTAAAGTAACTAGAGTTGGGATTTTTGTAAAATAATGTTCTAGTACTTTCTTTAATAACATTATACTTGTAATGAGATGTAGTTTTCCTATCAAATTTGTTCTGCTAACAACCCTCCACTAATCAAGGAAGCGGTGGGTGAGAGTGGACACCCATTCAACTACCATTTTACAGGTAGTTTCCTTATACCCCCCTTATAGATTGTCTTCGTGAATGAGGCATACTAGCGATTTGAATGACCATATTCTTATACATATATAGTATTTAACTTTTAATTATAATACATATATAAGGTGTGTTTTAAACTTTATTAATACTTTTAGGTTTATATAAATTTCGAAAAATTAGAATGTTAATTTAAATTTAAAATAAACCAAATAACTAGATTTAATAATTATCAATTAATTAACTTTTCATTAATTTATTAAATATTGTAAGGATTATCTAATCAAATTAAATAATTAATTTAATCCTAATCCTTATCCGTCTATATTTCAAAAATTAGGGTAAAGGATAATTTCCTTATTTTTCTCAATTATCCAATTAGGGAATAATTATCCAATAAGGAAATAATTATCCAAAACAAGATAAAACCCTAAAATAAGAAGAAAATATTGAAATTCAAGGGAAGAGGCTAGGGTTTTCCAAAACCATAACCCTAATTTCGATTAGGGTTCATGGAGGCTAGGGTTTTTTGAAAAAACCTTTGAACCAAAAACCCTAAAAACGAAACCATGGCCTTTTAGGGTTTAATAGCTATAAACCCTAATTTGCAATTCAACTATTATACCTATTCAATTTAAAACAAAACCAACCTGGCTCTGATACCACTGATGGATTTTAGGTAACACAAATAAACTAGAAAAACAATTCCTAAGTTTACATGAAACCTACTTTGGATCTATGTTTTAACTATTGAACATATAACTTTGAATTGCAAAACAAGAACCCTACGGAGAGAGGCTATTTTGAAAATAACAAATTAGGGTTTAAGATTTACATAGCTTTCAATTGTTATAGCAAACAATTAGTAATCTTTTTGATCTTGATCTTCTTGGAAGCTTAGCACCACAAATGTAATATCTCTAATGGAGTCACACCTAAAAACTAGCAAGAAGGAAACTTGAAGGAGAGAGAGAGAGAGAGAGAGAGAGAGAGACAGAGAGAGAGAGAGAGTAGGGTATGAAATTTTCGGCCCTAGGGTTTCACCAAAGTAAGAGTGGCCAATTTTGAGAGCTAGGAGGCTCTTTATATAGCTGAGGGATCTAGGGTTTAGGGAAAACCCTAATGTTCCTTTGCTTGGGGCCTAAGCTTATCTAAAGGCCTTATCCAAGCCCCTCCTACGAAATCATTAGGTTTTACCCTATAGATTTCGTCCACCCCCTTCCAGGGAGGTTCTCGAACCTTCCACTCAACTATTGGATAATCGCAAACTAGTCCTAGTACTTTATAATTAACACAGTTAACCCCAAAATCAATTCTAATTAATTTTCGGCTAGCTATTAATTAAATATTATGATTTATAATTAATATATTAATCTTTTAACATATTAATAAATCATTTATATTAATTTATTAATCTTATAATAAATCAATATCTCTCATTTCATAATTTCCTTGTCCAGTTGCTAGGTTTGAGGGCAACCCAAAAGGATTGTGATGCTATCAATTCAAGTACATACCAATTATAGATATGGGTTTAGACACCTAATCCAACAAATCCAAAGTTTTCTGGGATTAGTCGGATACTATCGAAGGTTTATCCAAGGCTTTTCTTCGATCGCTACTTCGCTAACATGTTTGACCCACAAAGGAGCTACTTATGCTTGGAGTGCTAAGTACAAGTAAGCATTCGAATTGCTCAAGAAGAAGCTATGTGAAGCACCGATTCTTTCTCTACCCGATGGAGTTGAAAACTTCGCTATATATAGTGATGCGTCTGGTGTTGGATTGGGTTGTGTTTTGACCTAAAGAGAAAAGGTGATAGCATATGCATCTCCACAGCTGAAGGACCATGAAAAGAACTACCCTAGTCATGATGTAGAGTTGGCAGCGGCAGTTTTCGCTCTAAAGATATGGAGGCATTACCTCTATGGCACGAAGTATAAACTTTTCACTGATCATAAGAGTCTCCAATATCTCTTTAGTCAGAAAGAATTGAATATGAGGCAACGACGCTGACTAGAGTTACTTTAGGACTACGACTGTGAGATACTTTACCACCCTGGTAAATCAAATGTTGTCACTGATGCTCTCAGTTGGAAAGTCAATATTGAAAGAAAAAGACCAAGAGCATTGAGAATAGAAGTTATCTCAACCATTGTGGAAAGTATAAAGAAAGCTCAAGAGGAAGCTTCTAAAAAGAATGACCGAAAAGAGGAACATTTGGGCAAAACATTGGTGTTTGGTACAAACGGTCATGGACTGAAGGTATTCCAAGATCGTATTTGGGTACCTAAGTCAGGAGGAATAAAAGATCCTCTGATGGAAGAAGCTCACAAAACCATGTACTCAATTCATCCTGGTAGCACTAAAATGTATAGGGACCTAAAACCCTATTACTGGTGGCCGACGATGAAGCTTGATGTAGCAAAGTATGTGGACAAGTGTGTAACCTGTGTGAGGGTCAAGGCACGACATCAGAAACCATATTGAAGTTTAGAACCTTTACCTGTGCCTATGGGTAAATGGGAAGACATTGCTATAGATTTTGTCACTAAACTGCCCAATACAAAGAATGGTCATGACATGATTTGGGTGGTCGTTGATCGCTTCACTAAGAATGCACATTTCATAACAGCTAATGAGAAATGGTCTATGGATAAGCTTGCAAATTCTTACGTGAAGGAAATTGTGAGGCTTCACGGTGTTCCATTAACAATTGTGAAATGGTCTATGGATAAGCTTGCCATTTCACCTTGCGATTTTGGAGAAGTCTATGAGAGGAATTAGGTACCAATTTGTGTTTGAGTACAGCTTACCATCCACAGACTGATGTTCGGAGATAAAGAATGATACAAACACTTGAAAATATGTTGAGAGCATGTACCTTGGAATTCCAAGGTAACTGGGATGAACATTTACCTTTGGTAGAATTTTCCTACAGTAATAGTTTCCACTCGAGCATTAAGATGACACCTTATCAAGCTTTGTACGAACAGAAGTGTCGTACGCCATCTTGTTGTCTTGAGGTTGGGGAAAAGCAGTTTATGGGACCTGAAATAGTCCATCAGACTACTGAAAAGTTGAAAGCGATGAGGGAGAGAATGTTAGCAGCTCAGGATCGTCAAAAGAGCTATGCTGACAAGAAAAGACGACCAATGACTTTTGAAGTTGGGGGTTCGGTTTTGCTTAAAGTATCGTTGTGGAAGGGACTTATAAGATTTGGTAAAAGGGGAAAGTTAAGTCCAAGGTTTATTGGACCGTTTAAGGTTCTTCAAAGGATTGGGAACCAAGCTTACAAGCTTGAATTACCCGACAGTACTAGAAAAATAGCCTTTTACGATGCTCATTGCGCGTCGTAAAAGGCTTAGACGACGCGCAAAGTCGTGTCAAGAACGGCCCTACCATAAAGAGAGACGATGCGCATTTACGACGCTCATTTACAACGCGCGTTCACGACACGCAATGTGTATCAAGGAAGGCCTTGTCATAAAGGAAAACGACACGCATTCGCGTGTTGTAACCTTACAACGCGCATGTTAATGACACGCAATGTGTATCAAGAAAGCCCCTGTCAAGAAAGGCCATGTCAAAAATGAAGATGACACACATTTTTGCGTATCAAAATTTTAAATGTATAAAAAAAATATTATTTATAGATTTACTAATTTTCAAATTAAATAAGACACTTAAAAGTCTCATAATGCACAATAAAATACTTATATAACAAAACAATCCATTTCATGCAATAATTGTACTAATATTCAAAATAAATCACATTTAATTGTTATTTTATTAACATGAGTCAAACTAGAAAAACAAATCTTCCTAATCCAAATAACAACATACATAAAACACAAACTATTTTCGGAAAGGAGAAGGTAGAGAGACTGCTTCCATACAATTATCCGTTTGACTGCAACACCACCTCGTTTTTTCCCTGAGTTGAATGGGGATGCATAAATAAATGAGCACTCTGACCTCACGACATCAAAATTCATTCCAAGCAGCAATAATTACAGAAATGATGAGCATCACCTAAAAATAAAATCAAGGATACAAAACAAGATTCTATCCCCAACATATGAACCAAGAACTAACTAACCTTAACCCCCCATTGAAGTCTGGCCTTCTCTGTTGGAGATCCAGAAACCTCAACATCTCTGCCTCCCTATTAATTAAGCACCAAACCAACATTGATAGTGAATTTTCTTTTTTCATAGTTGATTAAAGATCACTAACACCAAGAAAAACAAAGGTATAGAAGAGGATTGGTGCTCTTGTAAGGTACATATTCAAAATACCTACCTCAAGGGAGAATACACTGCCAATTGTATTGTGAGCTACCAAGAAAAGTAAAATATCCCACCAAATTCAAAGTCAAGGTTCCAGTTTTATCAAAATTACCCATCATTTCACAGACAGATAGCCTAATATGCACATACAAAATTACCAAAAACATAAAACAAAATACATACAACTATACAAGTCAATGAGAACAAAATATCAATATACCAATGCTTTGTCAGACATCATTTTTCTCATTGAGTATGGAAGCCTGTAATTATATATAATTAACATTTTAGTCATCCAAAACTCAAATTAAAGAAATGGTTTATAGAAAATGGACAGCTTATGTTGAAGCGACAACTAATGGAAGCCCTTCTGGCACTGCAACATAAACAATAGCTACCTATAGACACCTCAAGAATTACAAAGTTGAAAATGAATCTAAATTAAAATATATATGCATAAGATACATACTGCAACAGTGAAAATTTTGATTACTCCATCCATAGCATCCTTGACACTAGTTTTACCAGTAATAAATTCTACTTTTCCCTCATGATCCTCTGTGTATCCAGTGAAAAACCTAGCAAGCAGAAAAGGCAATTATACCCATGCAACACTGAATTACCTGATGAGAAGGATGACAAGAACGGATACGACTACCAAAAGTGCAATCTTACCAATAAACATTGTCACTCCACTCAAACGCACCTACCAAAACATGGGTGGATTGGGCAAAACTGTAAGATGTCTTGTGGTAGGGAGGTGATGAACGGATGGCAAGAGTCCTAGAAAATCCACACCACTGTTTGGTGATGATGGAGCACAGTAGCCCTTAAACAGAAACAAAATATTTTAGCTTCACCAATATACTACAAAAGTAAACAATAATAATAATAATAATTAAATAAATCACCTTTTACTTAATAAAGCTTCACGATCCTTCCTGTCTAAAGTCTCAAACCATGGATCAAGACCCCATTTTCTTTTAAATGTTTGATAATCGGTGTGGTGGTTGATATCCTCACAACCCCTTCACAACCTTCAAACACCACCTTACAGCCTCACCTGTAAATCAGAAAAAGATAAATAATAAGAATGGAGAATAAGAGATTGTGATACACAATATCTGAATAGGCATATATAGTGCTTTCATACTTAGGTAGTAGTGGTGGTCGAACATTGGTCATATTCTCGCTAACCCTACCCACCTCAATTCATTGATGAATCATAACAAAGGAAAAAACATCAATGATGCTTATGTTGTAGAGAGCACTCCTTTACGTTTTGAAAAAAGCCCAAGAATCATCCCTTCAATTTTGTGTGTGTGTTTGAGAGAGAGAGAGAGAGAGAGAGAGAGATAGTGATAAGTGTGCGCGTGTGTGAGAGTTTGGCATATGTTGAATAGGGTTCTTGAAAAAAGAAGTAGAATCGTCCCTTCAATCATCCCTTGCCTCTATTTCACGTATTTGGATTCTTTATGTTGATCGTTATCTTCGTTGGCGTGAGGCATTTGATCATGAAAGCCAGAGCAATTATGCTATGAAGACGAAGGCCCTAGGGCTTTTTCTTGCTAATCTAAGAGGCGGGGGGGGGGGGGATTAATTTTTGGGATCCAATAGGCGGGTGAAATCCCGCTTAAAACGCGTGTTTAATTAAAAAGTTATAAAGCAACACACTTAGATGACACACATCTAATGAAAGGCGCCCTCTGCATTTTTTTTTCTTTTCTGACAGTAATTTTAAGGTGCACACAAATGGGTGTCCTCTATCCTTCAAAATTTTCAAAACTAACATTATTTTTTAGGGCACACACAAATGAGTGTCCTCTATCAGCGTGTGTCATTGTTTGCACGTCATTAGAGGCCTGTTTTCTAGTAGTGCGAAGAACTGAATGGTATTCATAACACTTTCCATGTGTGTTATTTGAGGAAGTTCACGGGAGAAGTTCCTGACATGATTCCACTATGTGAGTTAAGAATTGATGAGAACAAAAGGTTAATTGAAGAACCAGAGACAATCATTGACCAAAAGACTACAAAGTTGCGACGCAAGATGGTCGCATTAGTGCTTGTTCGATGGAAACATGTGAATGGGCCAAATCTCACATGGGAGATGGAGAGTGACATGATGAGTCGTTATCTACATTTGTTTGTTGATGTGTGATTCTGGGGATGAAATCATCCTAAGGTGGAGAGAATTGTAACACCCGTCTTTCTAGGATAACCATTAATATTTATGTAATAGTCTAGGTTAACCTTTGTAGCTAATTTTAGAATAATAGAAATATATTATTTAAGTATTATAATAAAATATTAGATAAGCCTGATATCTGTACATGAAGTTGTAGTGGTCGTTACGAGGATTCTGAAAATATAAAGAATGCTGAAATCCGAGTTATAACGAAGAACTTATGACCTGTCGAAGTTTCACGACTGAACCGGTACGACACTGCATGACATAAATAGTGAGTTTATGATAGATCGATATTTAGCCTTAGTAATCTAAACGAAAGTCGTTAAACCGAGAGCGTACATAAATAGAATGTCTAAATCTCACTTCGTATGAGGAAGTTATGATTTTTCGAAGTTTCGACTTAGCGTTATACAACCCAAAGTTCGAATATGAGATCAAGTTATTTCTAGCCAAAATAATCTAAACGAGAATCGAATATCTCATCAATAGTAATGCAACGGTAAAAACACAGACGAAAACGGACGTCAGATTAAGAAGTTATGATTTTCTAATAGAGTTTTCCTGTCTTGGCCTACTAAAAATGATATAATAAAAGTTAAATTCAAATTTAGCCGACAAAGTCTAAACGAAAGTTGTAGAGCATAATCTCACCTACGCATGGATATAAAGAACATCGAAAACGGAGCTTGTATGCGAAAGATATGAATTTCAGAAGTTCAGGGCACGAACTTCAACCCTTGTGTCAGAGCTCACGACGTGAGCAGAGAGCTCACGATGTGAGCAGGTGATGGACGTCTTCCAGGGCAAGTGGCCATGACGAACGCAGTGACATATTCAAGCTCAAGACGTGAGCATAAGAGGCTCACGACGTGAGCATAGATTTTCAGCCCCTATAAATAGAACACAAGGTCAGCCGAGTTTAGTTGCTCAAATTCTTCTCTCTTGCCCTTATTCCATCAATTTACGTGCAAATTATAACCCCAAAGCCCCAGTATCATCCCAATACCTGAAGCAATTCCCAATGCTCCGAAGATCCCGAGAAGAAAAGATTTTCTGAACCGAAGCTCTGCCCGCGAGAAGTCCGGTTTTTGTGAAGCATCCTGGTTTCACTGAAGAATAAATTTTTAAGAGCCGTAGTGTTGTCCGGTAATCTTCTTATCAAGTGAGTGCATAGCCCCTTTCACATACACGACTTTAATACAAGTATTGATGAATGTATTACACATATGATATGATTAAGTGTGTAGTTGCTTTCTCATAACACACATATATGAATTATACTCTATAAAATACGTGCTATGTGACTATATACTAAATGTTATGTGGTATGAGTACCGAATGAATATGTTATACAAGTTTTAAGCTGTATATAAACAAGTATATTTTATCTACAAATATGTTGGGTAGAACATGCGTAGATAGTGATGTGTGATGAAATAAAAATGACAAGAGGCCATGATGTGATTGTGATCTAGTCGTCCAGCAGAATATGGATGATGGTGGGGATTTTTTTAGACAGTTCAGTGGAATGCTGGCAGGGTCATAACCTGTAGGTGTAGTGGACTTGTGTGTTCATTTGTTGTATTCTATCCCCCTCATGGTTGCCTTAGGACATTCATTATTCTATCCCCCTCATGGTTGCCTTAGGACATTCATTACTGAGGAAACCCATTTGCAGTAGTGTCCGTCCCGATGAAAATCATAGATTAGGTGCCTTGTAATAGTTGTTGTCATAGGGACGTAAAGTGAGGATAACGGGAATGGGTAATCGGGTTATTGTTGGTTGGTGAAATTAAATATAACTATTTATTATGGGTTGAAAACCCTATATCCTCATCAGGATCCCAAGCCTGACCCACTAAGTTTCTTTGTAGTACAGGTAGTGGCGCGAGAGCATAAGTTGGGGAACTTGTGAAGATGTTTTTGTTTATAGACCAGTAGTTATATATAACTGTGTACGGTCTATGTTTTATTTTTTATGCTTTTGTATCTGTATCGGAACATGACATCATGAGTTTTGATATATAATGAAAATACATTTCTTTAAGAAATGCTTTGATAAACCTTATTTTATCATGTATTGTTTTGGGGACAAATTCCCCAACTCTTTTAAATCAATGGGTTTACTCTAAAATTATTTTAAAAGCATAAATGAAACCGGTGTTTTCTGGTTGTGATTTTGGGGATGTCACATCTTGGGAGTAGTTGTAGCCTGGTTTAGGGCAGAGGTTGCTTTTGCTACTGCAGTTCAGATGAGTATGATTGAGCTGGTCAGGGAATCGGGGTGTGAGATCCTGAATGATATGATTTCTAGAGCCCAAGAGCGAGCGATTTGTTTAGAGCACTTTGAGATGAAGGGTATTATGTGGGAAGTCTACGGACAGGGTCCCAAGGGATGGTTATTCAGCATTGTCAGAATTCAACGGTTTTAGTAATCGTTATTGATTGGCGGATGAAAGTGCCAAGGGAAATAGCTCGTTGCTGAAGTATTAGTTGGAGCATCTATATTTTGGTCTTCAAGATTTAAGTGTTGGATCATTCAAGCATCAAGGGTTGTCGGTTAATTTGTGTTGGGTTTCACACCAGCGGGTGGTGGTTAGTGTTCTAAGTGGGGGAGAATTAGGAATTTTTAGGATGAGCGTCAGCCATTGAAGGTTTTGTCTGTTGCTGTTCAGATTATGGTTTCCAGAATGGTCGGATAGGCGTTAATCGGTGAACCTCTCAGGGAGCGGGAATTCTCCGAAGGAATTTAAGGGGCGACAGTTGAGAAGCTAGGAACACGTCACCAATTCCCTTATGCAGAATGTTTATGTTTCCTAAGTCTTTGGGGTATGTTTCCCCTTGATAATGGAATATAATTTTGATTCGTATTAGACTCGGATTTTGGTAACCTTCGGGATAATCGTGGAAGTCTTCTCGGACAAGTTTTGTATTAGTAGAATCAGATCAGTCTCAATCAAGTATGGGCTTGTGGCAAGTAAATATGGAGTTAGGGATTTCCAATTATGTGCATGGTAGTGATTCGCGTGTGTATTTGTGGGTATTCAAGGTGGCAATAGGGTTGGTTCAACTTACATGCTTGATCAAGTCTGGGTTATAGTCCACAAATTGGATCAAGAGTTTGACTATCATTCTATTATGGGGTCATGTGCGACCCAGGTTTATAATATTTAGCTTAGATAGCAAGTTATTCTATAAGTGAATAGTGTGTGGTGGGGTTTCAGGAACATGGTGCTGGTTGGTGTTGTGAAGGATGTTCGTCTGGTCTTTTCTTTTAGAAAATGTTGAAAGTTTATCAGGAGCATTCTAGTCATGAGCTGGGAGCCAGGTAAAGCATAGCCGACTCATGTTTTGTGCTCAGGACGACTCCAAACCTATGTTAAGGACCTTCTAGGGGTATTCCAGTCATAGGTTGTGGTCCTAGTGGTCTTAGTAGTTCATTTCTTCTGTTGGAGCACTTTCGAAATTGACACAGTGTTGAGGTTCAGGCGAGTCGTAATCGGCTGTGAGAAATCAGAAAACTTTGTGTGAAATACAATACTAGATCCTTGAACCACAAGTTATGAGTTTAGACCCGAGTTTCATATATAGTGGTAATTTGATCTAGGGTATTCCATCCCGAGGATGACTAGAACCTATGATTGATTGGACCTGACAAGTTTGGTATTCCAACTCGAGGGTTAATTGGGCCAAACATGTGCAGGATACTAGGGTATTCCATCTTGAGGATGACTGGACCTGTTATAGGCATGCCTGGTATTCCAGCGCGAGGCTGATTAGGCCAGGTACGAGTGTTCGGGCTTATGAGCCGGTTATTATATGTATGTTGGTCCTAGGGATAAAGGAAGTATTATGTTGTTAATCCCAAAAGGGCTCATCTCCCAGTTTACATCTCGTTGTTCATTATATCCCTGGGAATTGGTTATCAAAACGGGTTTCTCTTGAAGGAGTACCTAATCTATTGTTAAGAAAAGAATTATAGGTAGCGGCGTGT